TCCTCTTCATTCATTACAGAAGCAAACCAAGTGGATAGGAGTTTGAAGACAGGCAAGATTTTGAATAATGCGAAAGGCCAGGTCGGATATTACTATATATACTATGTCACATAAACATTAGCGCCTACACAAACTGTTTGATACGCAGCTCTCTCCGGGAAATGAAGACCAGCCCACGTTTTCATTTGACACTCGAAAGACAGGCCTCAATCAATGGACCATCAAAATTGAACGCTGTCGAGTCACACAGCACAGTAGGACACTAAGCAGAACGCGATAACGAACAAAAACTATATATTCAACTATCAAAAAGTTGAAAAAAAGCAATATGTCAATATGTGAATGCAGCTTTCAGAAATGTAAAAAGGAATAACAGCAGCGGCGATTCGGGCAAAGTTATGACTAAAAAAGCAAAATTTTCACATTTCGCAATTCTTATAGTTTCATAGCGCAAAAAAAAAACAGAGAAAAGAGAAAAGAATAGCATAGCGAAAAAAAATTGTTTGCGCCAAACACTGACTTAAACTTAAACTTAAAAACGTTGCCGAGTGATGCTGCAAAATGTCACAGTCTCCGCGGCATGATAAATAGTCAACATTCGAAAAAATCGTCCGTCACGACCTCCCCCTGCCGTGAAGGTTAGGGAGATGTACTAGAAGAGTGAGGGTCCCTCTTAGGCTTCATCACGGTTCTCTTTTGCTGTTTCTTCCATTTCCATTCAACAATGCACTCTCACACCCGTTATCAAACGCGGTTCATCCGCAAATCCGTGCCTGACTTGTGCCTTTAAAAGAATCCTTCGCAAAATTCTTGCATTATTTCTCAACATAAGCAGTATCAGTTGTGATCGATGGAAACAGCACACAAAGTTGTACGTATGAAGATTCGGTTTTCGAGGAGCAACAAACTTACAAAAACTACACTCTGTAGACAATCGAAGGTAAAGGCGCGGAGCCAAAGGCAAGGTATGGAAAGGAGTCCGCCTTGAAGCGGCTGACAGCTCTCATTTAATTCTCACGCAGTGAAAGAATCGGGTGAAGTCGTGCGATTTTGCAGAGTAGAGACAAATGGATCGATAGAATAGGAAGAGTAGAAGTGTGAGGTGTGAATGCAATAAGTCAAAAAGGCAAGAAAGAGTTTCTAGTGAAGGCACTCCCCCCTGGAAACATTCCCGTCGAAAGCATTTGGGATAGATGTCCGGTGTACTTCAAACGCACAGCAGCCCTTTCGATTTTCCGAATTTTTTACCATTTCATGCTTATGGTGGATGGTGGGTCTCAAGCTAGTGACTTATGACTGAAATAAGATCATTCTTCAGTGAGGGATTCCTGTAAATCGTTATGAGTGTGTTACATAATTAATGGCCGTCTTTGTTCAGATCATCAAACACTTCCAAGGTCATGCGAAATAGTTTAAATGTGAAGAATCAGGACCATAGCAAAGAGGTTTGAAGTTCAGGCCAGCCAACGATGAGCGGAAGCATAGCGTCTGACCATCGCTGAATTTCTTCGCGATCCGATCAAGCAGAGCTCCGATGCCTCGTGGTGAGATCAGTTTAGAAAATCCATCTGGTCCGCAAAACAACACACTGCCCTCGCAGTCTGGACCCACCAGGTCAATCAAAGTTCAAACTTCATGCTCGGAGAACATGGTTCTTGATTTGCTAGACTGACTGGAGATCTTGTTTTGATGACCGCCTTATTGAATGCAGACAAGCGCTGCAAAGGTAAACGAACAGCTCTTGAGGTTGGTTGCAGCTGTGCGAGAAGAACCGTAAACCTCCCCCAAATCTTTTTCCGAAGAACGAATTGAGCGTTACTTCCCGAAAATAACTCGCCACGGTTTGACGGAAATAGGCTGGACCACGATACCCCTTCCATCGTATGGTCCCGACACTGCTTGACATTGGCGTCCTTGCCCTTAGCTGATCTGAAGAAGAGCTTAGACTCGAAACTTATCAGTGAATGTCGGGAACAAAATCCCACTTTGCATATTTTATTGAGGCATTTGAACAACTGTTCGACGCTCTGGTATGAACCAGGAAGAAGCTGATTTGCTGGTTGTAGCACCCACTACAGCATATCCAAATGCAGTGTAACCGAAGGGGCTACTTGCCTACTTGTTCCCATCATTCGCATCAATCTAAATCTACTCCTAATGGAACGCCGATTTTAAATAAGGAATAAAGCAGTCAGGATGAATGGTTGAGCAATGATCGTATCTTAGTTCTGGTGATAGAGGCACTCAAATGCACTCTTAAAATGACGTGCCCTGCAAGCCATCTTCATATACAAACATAGACAGGTGTATCTTCTGAGGAGAGCCAGCTTCTAAGATGCAGTTCAGATATTCATGCACAAACCGCTGGCAAGTAGCTCCTAGAAAATCCTGTAAGACACTCAACCCACTTGCCACACCTGAGCTGCACTTGGCAACGAAAGAATGCACTTCGAGGTTAGCAGCAAATTTTGCAATTGAATGCCCGTATACGAAGTTATACGACCATTTGCTGCCTTAAAGGACGAATTCACGATGAAAAAACAACTCATTTTACCTAGGGATGGTGAGCAGCACACGAGAGATGGAAAAATCATGAGAAAATGCCCAGAACCCGAGAAATGAGACCCCTTCCTTCCGTTCATTTGTGCATTGATGCGACTCACTACGCTGTGCCCTCTTCAACACTACGCTCTCTCTGCTATCTGATCAGTCGCCAAGTATGGACCTGTGGCGAGCAATCAGCTGGTCGGTGGGCGTGCACTGGCCCCGCGCCAAGATTGAGCCTTACTAGGTCGCTGAGGTCTAACTCCTTCGGTGCCAACTTGCGCTTCAGTCCGCACCCTCAGGAGGTCCGCGGGTCCCTCAACTAGGTGAATTACTCCTTCTTCGACTTCATTCTAATCGTGAATTCGTCCTTAAAAATGCCCATTTGTAGTTCAACCAACGTTGCCTTAGTTTACATATTTTCTAACATACAAAGGTGAGTTTGCACGAAAGCTGATCTTCCTCTTGAATTCGCTGGCCAACAACCGTTTTCTATATAACTACACTTAGAAAAACAAACTAAAGTACAGCTGCTTGAGATGAGAAGGCCTTCAAATAATAGAGTGCACTAGCGATAACAGACACATCAACTACGCTCTGTTAGGCCCGCGTTCATAGTTCGTGACTCGGAGATTAGGATAGTAGGCGACAGGATATTAGGATAGTAGTAGAGTAGGAGATTGCGCTGACAAGATTGGATACGTATCGATTGAAATCGCTGGAGAGTAGTAGATTGGGCGACTTCAAGCGAATAGATCAATACATATCTAATCTTGTCAGCGCACTATCCTAATCTACTACTATCCTAATCTCCTACTCTACCTACTATCGTAATATCGCAATCTACTACTCTCCAGCGATTTCAATCGATACGTATCTAATCTTGTCAGCGCAATCTCCTACTCTACTACTATCCTAATCTCCCCGTCAATACATATGTTTTTCATTGTCGCGTACTATCCTAATCTCTCCGCAGTCGCGAACGTGACCGCGGCTTTATTACTCTGCCGTTGGCGAACGTTTCGCGTCACAATCGTTATCGGTACGGTCCTGCCGAGCTGCCAAAGGCATCCCACTGCGAAACCGATCGTCTCACACCCTTATTGATCCACTGCCTTTCTGCTGAAAGCTCTCCCCTGCTTCAACCTATCACCTTCTCGTGAAAACCTTAAAGATGACACTTTTGAAAATTAAGTCGGATGGAGTGGTCTTGAGGAACATTTGGTTCTGTCCCTGTAGAACGTAATATATCCTTCGTACAATGTAACTACGTACGAAAAAATGTTTTTTCTCCACAAAATACTTCATTCATAAATATCTAATAAATATACTTGCTTCACAGCGCAGAACTGAAACACCGTCAACGAAGAAGTCTGACTGGAATCGTGGTGCACAAAGGTCGATTGACAACAACTTGTACAACTATCGAAAGGAGCATCGAGAGAGACAGAAAGGAAGAGGAAACGTAAACGAAACACATGGTATATTCTAACCAGCCGACAAGTGGGAAAGACACGTGATTCACAAAAGAAAGGAACACAACGATTTGGTTCGAAGTGAGGATACGGATTTACTGATATATGGATTTATAAGGTAGCAAGAAGATTTGATTTTGGTCTCATAACATATACACCACAGGAAGAATATGGTTTCAAAAGCATCACAGATCATTGATGGGAAGATGCAGATTGGGGACAGTATGTGTGGGTAATATATTCCTAGTACCGTTCACATAGAAAAACCATCGTGGTCAGAGACCCGCGTCAGGCGACCTCAAATCGCGACCTGAGGCTAATACTCTTCATCTCATCAGTTTACGTCGTCAGTTCAAAAGGCACGCAGTGATGAAAAACAAGCAAGTCTACCCATTTCCAATGCAAAACATGGAGGTCTAGGTTACCGTAGGAGGAGCACGAAATGGATTCTGAAAGCTCATGGATCTCAGGGAAGAGATCCCGCAAGGAAGCGAGGGTGCTGTTTTGGGACTATGCGAGTTTGAATATTACGTGCATATCGAACTGACCCCGAGGAGTATGAAACCAGCTCAACGATACATGAGGTCGTCATTACACTAACCCTGTTCCGACAAGATGTACATCAGGCATCTATCAGATGTACGATGAAAATATTCTACCAGCTCTTAGCCGTTCTTTTTGTAAATCAGATACTAAAGTGTTAGAATTGCGCAGTATGCTATACGAAGAACGAGTTTTTAGACGATTAATTTGACTTCGAAACACCAAGAACACCGTATCAGATCGAAACAAAGGTAATGAAATTAAAACGATAAATACGGAACAGAAACTGTTGCTCACGAGATGATCTCAAGATCGCGACCCGTACTAATGAGCTCAGATCAAACAGGAGGGAATTGTTGTGAATGATGGCAGAGAGCAGGACTTGGACCAGAGACAGGAACAAGGTGTTCGTTCGCTGTCCGTCTTGAAGACAGGTCAAATCAGTAAGCTCTGTCGTCGATTTGTCTTCGAAGGCCTTTGGAGATGGTTATGATCCTTGAAGATAGTATCACGATCAAGCGACACACCTTCAACGTCCATCACCGACTCATCATCACGTAACGTCATCACCTGCATATCAAACCTCTGTGAAAAGAAAAGCTTCGTTGCAAGATTTAGTGGAGGTAGAAGTGTTTTTGAGGTTCCAGTAGAACTCCATAACAAAATAAAGAAACAACTTTACCTTGAGGGGGAGAACCTTGAGAAAGTTGTGGTGCATGGCGTCATGAGCTGATATCCTATCTCGACCTTCATACTAAACAGAAAGATTGGAGAAGATTTCGAGCAAGACCCGAACAACTGAATTGGAACTTTAATGCAGAACCGAGTCACTGCTTCCCAAGACCCTTAGTATCCGACCCCTGAAATTCATGTAGGCCTTGGAGCTTAGAAGAAACTTCTGTCTCCCCTCCCCCAAAACCACTTATTGTGTAATTTACATATTGATAGCCTCTTCCGCTCTAAGTTTCCTCTGTATACGGCGGACCTTGAAACCCAAGCGAAGCTCGTTAAAGACACCGCCCACTATTGGGTGATGGGTTTTTCAGGTGGTTTTGATATTAAAAGTACAAATCGGACAGCTACTGAAAAATGGAATAAATTGTCAAGAACACTGAAAAGGACAAACGTCATTCTTCCACGCTAATAAAGAAGAGGCACACAGCTAGATAAGAGATACGGCGCCGATGTGAGAAAACAGCAGACAGAAGCGTAGTGGGTAGGCTACGCGGACACCGTAGGAGGGAGTGTGCAGTGACCCTCGTCCTAAGCTCCTAGCGCCCCTCCTATCTGATGTTGAAGGTTGGAACGGCGACACCCCTGCAGGTACAACACTGGCAGCCTCATTCGGAAAAGCGTTATTACCAGTGGGCTCAATCGTGCATTCACTCATTTACAGCAGATTCCCTCACGTTTTTGAGCTTATGCATGAATAAGATGCCAAAAAGAAAAGATAAGCAGTACGAATACGTAAAAGAAATCACCTGTAAAAACTTCAAAAGCAGATCGTAGCCCTGCGCATCCATTCGTGGTATTTGTCGGATTAGTGGTTCTGGATGGTAGACCTTTTGCGCGAACGGGGCGTATGCTGGACGAGCGCAGATAGTCGCATGACGATCTCCTCGAGGTGATCCCAATGTCCTAAAAAGTACCCTATACGGATTGCAATTTCAAGGATGGATGAACACAGTCATTACATACCGAAAGATAAGGCCAAGCTGCTCGTCAGTCGTTGAACCAGGGAAATAGCGCACGACCAGCAACCATCTCGAACAGAATGCATCCGACACCCCACATATCGATATGCGTGGAATAATCAGTCGAACCTGAACAGCAATCTTTTAGCTAAACCTGAGTATCTCTTTAGTTTTCTTATCATTCAGTTTCCAAGAAACGTTTTTAGCGCAGTGTCTGAGCAGCTCCAGAAATATAGCATGACCCAACCACAACTGTGCTGAGGAAGTACGCCTGGATGCACATAAATGCCATAGCTTTCAACGACCAACAGAATACAGCGGTGCAAAATTTCCAACACTACTTAGCATACTTGCCCAAAGGTAAACAAATAATTTTATGGCAACAACTTTCTTCACAAAACATATACATAGTGTCAATAAGGTATGCACATAAAAGCAATATCGTAGCATATAACAACCTAAGGAAAACATTCGAAAAACCTAAAAAAAAAACTCGGAATTTCAGTGAATCACGTAGGGAATGCTTCACCCCTGGACTCGTGCATAGGGTGACATCTACGGCCTACAATAATACAGCAAAAATTTCGGAACAAGGGTGCCCACTTGGAAGTCGAAAGTCGTCTATCTCTACAGATCGTACAGTAAGTAGTTCTACAGGGTGAGCCAGAATCATTTGCTTAAAGCTATAGCATTTGTTCTGTTGATACATATTTGGAAGCGTTAAGCGAGCAACTGGTGATCAGCCTCATGGTTAGCACATTTTCTATCAGGGCTTAAGATCCCACTTTCCAGCGCCGACGTTTCTCAAGTTGTTGGACTTTCTTTTCAGCGAGCTATGTCACCCATTTGAGCGTGCTTGGTCAATATACGGAAGCAGTAGCTAAAATACTACTAGTGCACGGTAGAACTAAGAATTTTGCCATCAAATAATAAGTGGACCCTGGAGCTATGAAAGGCTACCGACACCAGCAGCTGCAACTTCCAAAAATCGTTCGTGACGGAGACATATTGATGAGCTTATTAAGCAGAATGACAAACATTGCCAGAAAAAAAAAAACTACACTCAAGGCGTTCACATGCTAGAAAACGAGTGCTTTGATCTATAGTTACCAAAATGCTCATGTCAAGGCTTCATCCATGAGAAATTCTGGAGAGGACTTCAAGATGTTCCTTGAATGCCTACTTCGGCGCGCCGTCCAGCTATGATCTTATCAGTGAGATATTGCAATAAGAGACTGGGATCGTCAGAACCGAGCAAGCTGCCCACAGGAATTGTGGAAGTGTAACGATAGATGCAGAATTGCGATGGAGTATACAAAAAAAGCAAAAAAAGTCATGGTTTGGGCTGCGATAAGCCATGAATTCATGTCCCCATTCATTTTTATCGACGAGGATGCTAAAACCAAAGCAGAGGTTAACCTGAGAGGGGTGCTGACTGAAATCTTACTTTCCTGGACAAAACGCACAACGGATCCGGTTCGTTCATATTTCAGCAGGGGGCAGCACTAGCTGGTAAATCGAAGGTAACATCGCACGACTGCGAGAAGACCAACCCGGGCTCCACCAGCGCTCAAGACCGGCCAAACAAAAGTACCCACTCGATTACAGTAAAGTAAATATTTCGGGTCAAGCTTTTTAGAGGGGCCAGTTTGTAGCAACACCACTCAAATAAAGAACTGCTCAACGTATAGGAAGAAATATCCATTACCAATTTCAGAGCGTTGACGAGTCACTGTGAACGACTCTTCTCACAACTGAAGGCTAGTGCGCGGTCCAAGAGGACGCTTTGGCATGTGAAGCAGGGTTTGGGATTAAAATTGCATATGTGTACATGTGTTAGAAAACTAGTCCTCAATTTATTGTTTTGAAGAGCTCGGAAAGGAGGAAACTTATGCAAACATAATTTTGGCGCACCCTAATATATTTCAAATAGGCGAAGCCTGCTACAAGGGGAACCACTTCCAAAGACATTGTTCCTGGATGGGATCATGGATGGAAACTAGTTTAGAGCCTCCGAATCTGAGGATTTAGTTACCTTCTTAGAACGATTGTTGCTACAGAACATTTATCATACACAAATTATGCCTTTGAACCGCCTTAAACTCAGCCTTTTATGCCAGTGATGAACCTTGTGCTGATCCTCACCTAACTAAAGTATGATACAAAAGGGGTGGAGAATTATCGATGATTGATATGTATTATGACCTACAACTACCTCATAATTATGGATGGAAAGAAGATTTGAGCAGACTGATCCAAACAGTAAGTTTACACCTTGGGAGCCATGCAGCCCATATGTGGGCTGCAGTCTGTCAACGGTGTGATACCTTACGACTCATGTTTTGGAAGAAAGCATTCAGTTTTTCTTTTGTTTTTCTTTTCCATTTCATCAATAAGATTTCGTCCAGATCATTCAATAGGTTTTTGTTCCAATTTGCTCAATAAGATCCTTAAAAATCCACTGAAGTCCTGAGCGGCCGCAAAACGTAAAACATGCGCGCTCTCCAACGTGTTCAAGTGGACATACAGTAGCGGTACAAAATCTTCACCAACGGTTTTTCGTGCATTATATTTCCTACATTCATCTGTTTTTTGTTGAATAACAAGTTCTGTGTCTTTTGCCTTTTTAATTCCTTGAGTTCTGAAGATTCGAGGCATTTGAAAGAAAAAGCTAATTAATCTTCCGGATTTTTCCAGAGAAAATTGTAATGCACGAAAACATTGGCGTACACTTTTGACCACTTCCAGACACATGGCCATAACTCATCCTTAACAAAGAGCGATTATGGACCAGAACAGGCTATCAAGACATTTTATGGCACGATTTCATTTCTCGTGTTTTGAAAATTTTCAGCTATTTACCAACATACGGTTACCGCACGTTAAAACTAGTGGCGATCCCAAAGACGGAAGATAAATCCCAATCCCTCTTTGAAAAATGGACAGGATAGTTGAACTTTTAAAGTTCCGCTGGGCTGATACAAAATTTAATGTTTTCCAAGGAATAAGTTTACCGATGATGTTTCCTCAATTTGGCAATAGAATGTATGAAAAACAAATCAATTTCAACTTTGACTACTATACTTCTCAGCGTAGAAATCAACTACTGAATCTAACTGTAGATGATGTTCAGATAGGTTCAGTAGAAGAGCGAGATTGAGTACTCCTTCACGTTGCCTTAAAGAACCGGGCGGAAAAACTCACATCTGATGTCAATAACCTCGGAATGCTTGCAAACAAGCCGGTTCGTGCAACAGTCACAAATCATCCCGTGCTGATGCGAATTATTTCTTTGAGGAAACCAGAGAGAATGGACTGCCAAAGGCAGGGCAAGCCATGAGTACGGATCGCCCCGACTTAATTCAAAGCTGGTCGGTCTCTTCCGGAGGAGAACACAGCAGGAATAGCTGTGCGCGAACGGGAATAGTAACACTCTTTGCTTGCGGTGCAGTCCGACAACGTTCTTTGGATGCGCATTGACCCATCGCAGGAAAGTATCATAAAGAAGTTAAAGGCAAAAAATGCTAAAATTATACGACTGGTACCAAGTTACACTAAAGAAACCACAAGAAAACGTTGCCATGTTTCACGATCAAAATATTGTCTTGTTTAACCCCCTCCAGTACTACCGTAACTACTTGGGAAAGCGAGAGGTCAGCAAATAGTTAAGCGGAAAAGGTGAAAGCGACATGTTTTCGTGTTGTTTGCCCAGTTTCGTGGCGACGTGGGTCGGCTGTCGTGGTCTGCGCCGCTATATTTAGGTCATGTAAAAAGAGAACTGGATGCTTCTACGCGGCTTCCAGCGTATGCAATGATCACAGGAATTACGCCCAAAGTCTGTAATCTAGCTGATTTCAACGTTTACGGCCGATTCCCTAATAACTCCCATCTCCCTTGCCTCCACCTGCCCAATATTCCTTAAAATCACCGAAACTTCTGTTAACAGTACATTAGTACAAGGATGAGTCCAAGGGCTTGAATTCCTCCATAATTCATGGAAATGTGCCACAAATTCATAGAAATCACACCACTCGAATTACACCTTTTCAACAGTGACTTCTCCTTCAAGCCGCCTGAATAAAATTGCCCCGTGCACTGTCGTTGAAGGCTATTTTTCAGTCGTTCTTCCATTGTTTAAAACAGAATTCGTCTCTTTAGCAGCGCGCTTGAAAAGACTATTGTGAAAAATCCAATTAAGGACGAGGATTCCCGCATAATTTAGCGACCACAATAAAGCCTTTTCTGCTAAACAACATTGCATGGAACCGACAATTCCCTTCAAAATAGCTTTTATCGCAGTGCGTGTCGGATCAAAATTAAAAGACTTCAAATGGTGGAACAGAAATACATAAACGTCAACAAAAACATGGCTGTTCGCTGAAAACACTGCGCTGTTGTTTTCGTCTGGGAAACCGGAACAAAAAGGAAAAAGTTGATTCACCTAGAAGCACATCCGGCGGTCGGTACCACAGCGTCACCACCTCATTCGAGTAGGTCTTCGTTGGTACAGATTTAGCCCGCGCCAAACCAAAGTCGGCCAACTTCAGCTCGCCCTTGGCAGTTATCAGAAGATTCTGCGGTTTCAAATCGCGATGGAGTACTCGGCGCTGGTGGCAGTACGCCAAACCTCGGAGCAGTTGGAAAAGGAATAACTGAAAAAGTGGATTTGAATCTCTGCTACACTGTTTATGCAATAATGAGCACACCCAGCGAAGAAGATAAAAGTTATTAAAAAATGTGCTATAGGAAGCAAAAATGTGACCAAACAACTCGCGAGGTTATTCATCGGTAAGTACGTTATTACAGGCAAGCCATGTACTGCTTCAGGTCGCGGTCCACGTATTCGAAAACCTAGAAGAGGAAAATGAGGTTCAGCTTAGAATGTGGAGTGAGGTGGAAGTGGGAGGAACATGAGGTACTAGAAGAAAAGCGCACCGGTCCCGAATTGTCAACAAGAAGCGGTCGTTTATGTGTTTCTAAATTCGCGAGCATATTTTTGAGCGGAGGCAAAAAAGCATTTCGTCAGTAAATTATGGTTCAGCGTCCCTGCATGTCAAAAACAGACGGCAAACGATGTTTGAATAAGCGGCAGAAGCGAAGTTTGCGCGAGTAATCAGATGAACTCGGAATACGCCACGGCCCCCAACAACAGGAAGCTTGAGGGCCCATCGAAAGCACTTACAAGAGTGAGCAATCGATCGGTGTGAATGATGTCATGAAGGGTGACGACGTTGGCATGGCGAAGATTCCGCAACAACGACACTTCCCGAATCGCCGTGCACGGAGCGCCTTCCTCCTGTTCCAATCGGATTTCCTGAAACACAAAGGAACTTTCTCCTGGGACATTGTTTACCTCCGAATCGTTTAGAACACTTGTACTCCAGGTTAAAAATTAAAAGATTAATTCGATCAGGGCTGCTGAGGAAGCGAAGAAATTTTGAAAAACAAAACTCCGATCGATCTTTAGGCGCTCTCTAGAGTAGCACTAATCGCTCAGCGACAAAGAGAAAGACTCAAATTGGCGACAAATTATCCTCGACGTCATCGAATATGCAGTAAATGTCCTAACGAGTTCCAGGCACCTCGTGGAACATTCGATAAATCTCACGGCAAGCACCTTTTCTCGCTATCAGGCAACGGCTATACAAAACTATGCCTACAAAAGGTTTCAAATACGAAACTCTGCGGAATTCCCAGTAGACCGGAACAGAGTAATTATCCCGAAGTACGGTATCGTAATATTCACTTGACAGCAGTATTTTTCTCAATCAACCACAACAACGACGTCGATGCTAGTGCGTGTGTGACTAGAATGAAGAAACGACTATTGCTATCTCCCCGAGGAATATGAGCACAATGGATGCCATGTCATCCACTGGGACAATTAGCTGTAGTCCCTTCAACGAGCTGCCTGAGAATTGGATTGAATCCTGACGGGAATTTCCGCTTGACTGCGCCACTTATAGGAAACGATCGTAGGAAGTGTATAAATGGAAGTCCATTTATTTTTACATTTCTGTAAGTTTATGAGTTGAAATTTCCTCGCAAAAGCACCTGAAATAGCACCGCAAATCGTTTATTTTTCAACATGAACGAGGGCCACTTAAAGAAGCCCAGGACAAGATCGGAGATGGCGGAGGGGGTCCACAAGCGGCCCTCTAAGGGTGCGGGACGATGGGCGCTTCGCGGTGAAGTCTATGCCCCAGCGGCCCTAGTAGGGTCATACTCGCGTCACTCGCGCCACTGCCCGCCCACCCCGTCTGGCTCCAGCCATCAAGCAGAGAGAGAAGGAGAGAGCGTTAGCTTTGAAGAGGGCAGCACCAATGAGAATCCCATCAATACAGAAATCAGTGAAGTTTCTCATGGATTTTCTCCATCCCAGCACTACTAACCACAACTACTTTGGTTGATAATGGGCTGTCTTCTCATCGCAAACTCCGCCTTTAAGTACGACTAATGCAATAGGACGCTCAATCGTCCAACCATCAAGCCTTTTTTAATGGTAGTGAGTAATTGCTATTTTGTTGAAACTGCACCCAACACTTTCAATAAACTTTATCAGTTAACGTTTCGGCGAGATCGTCTTCTCCGGAGCCTAAAAGGGAGAAATTCGAGTTTGTGGTTATCCGACTCAATATTTTTTCGAATGGGTCTAATCCGATTGAGAAAATGGAGATGAGGGAAGCTAACAC